AAAAAAAAAAGAAAAAAAAACGGTCGTCTCGTTTGTTGAAACTTTTTTCCCCTCAGACCGTTTTATAACTTTTTATTGAACGATCGTTCATGGTATTAACCATCGTACTTTAAAAACCAGGCCATAGGAAAGTACGTAAAAAAAATAAAATGAACTTGTCTCTCTCCTCGTGATACTTCTTCTTTTAGCGAGAAAATTTTTTTGATAGATTGGAGAAAGCTAATATTGAAAAGAAATTGAGAGTGGCCTGTTTATTTAAAGATTAAAAAGGTTAAAGACCGCATATATATATAATAATAATAATAATAATCGGATATTATAATCTATTGATATATGATGAGATTAAATAATGTATAAGATTTTATTCAGAAAAATGATCGTCTTATCGTCTGGCGAAACTAGAAGAATTTTATTTTTTTTTATCATGAATTATAGTTCCTCTTAATTAGATTGTACGTTACATCATTTCAATTTTAATGATAAAAACTAATACGATCAATCATTAGAATACTCAGAAGATTTTGATCAATCTAGAATATATGTTTCAGTTGTTTAGAGTACATAGGGAGGTAGGGAAGAAGGCAAAGTGATTTTGAAAGCTTTTGTAAATAAAATAAAGCATGGAAATGAAAAAATTTGTACAAACTATCATCCTTAACATTCCCTTTGCAATTGTTCCTGCCTGTTGCGAGCTAAATAATTGTGTTTAAACTGATTCAACACTGAAGTAAAAGAAACCCTGACAAAACTTGATAACTGAAGCATATATTCTAAATTGATCAAAACTTTCTGATGATTCTAAAGATTGATCGAACGATGTACGAAAAACCTGCTCAAAATAAGCATCATCCAAAATCTCAGTAAACATTGGTCAGAGGATTCTGTAAATTGACGGCCCTCCCCCTAAACACGTGTACATATCCTTCTAATTATTTTTCATTGAATTTATGAACATTTAGGATAAGAAAAGGAAGAGAAAATTAACACGATCATTTTTCTGATAATAACACACTTATATATAATAAACAAATGAAAGATTTTAATCGCGTAATGGTACATACATATATACATACATACATACATACATACATACATACATACATACATACATACATACATACGTCAGTCAGAGATGTTGATGTTGGGTGGGTAATACGCGTAGGTATCCGCAGCGGGGAAGTGACGCCGAACAGCCCATCACGACCGCACAGCTCCATGAGCCAGCAAAGTGCCAGCAGCGTGGGTAGCAGTAACGTCAATCTACGTCCTCGTACTTCTGCTCCGCGTCGACCGCGACCTGCTTCTATCGCCGGTACCGGCGTTTCGGTCACAGAGCGACACAGTGAGCACCAACAATATTTTTTTAACACTTTCTTCATCTTTTTTGTCTTTTTCCTTTATTCGACTTTTCTCGCTCGCTTCTACTGACCCCCCATATCCCCCATGCCCCCCCACATTATAACACGTTGAGTGTTACAGTGAACAGGCATAAGTCCCTGAGGACTGACAAGTAGACTTTTCGTTTGGTCGGTGTATGGATCTTACTGGTGATCATCTTTTTGCCGCCTGTGCTAAAAATTCCCGCCCCCGTCCCCCCATCTTCGCTAATTTATTTGACTAGAAGCAACGACAACAAATGATGAAATTAAATATATATAAAATTAAACGCGCGTTATATAATCCTTTATTATTATTATTTTTTATTTTGTTGATGAGTGAGGATAGGATGAAATTTTCGATGCAAAATGGTTGTTTTAACTACTTGTAATATTTCTACGCGAGCGAGACGACAGTGAGAATAAATGGAAAAAGCTCTTTTTTGGCTAACAACTTTCTTCTTATTTACACACATGTTACACACAAATTGAATATAGTTAGATAGAGTTTAAATAAATCTAGGGAATTATTATTGTAATTGAAGTACGCGTATAATAATAATATTAATAATAATAATATGTACATACGTCGATCGCACTCTGATGATGATGACACGCCAAGCGTTTTACGTCTTAATTTTATTTTTTTTTTAATTTTCTTTTTTTTCATGATTTTCTTCTTCTTCTTCTTCTTCTTCTTCTTCAATTTTTTATTCACAATTTTTTGTATATCTATATTTTTTAGTTTAAATTCGCTTCTATTATTATATTCGTTTGCTTTTAATTGTTTTCAGATTGCACATGTAAATATCTTGTTTCCTGTATATGTTTATCGTATTTTTTTTTCTTTTTTAATTTTTTTCTAAAAGAAAATTATAATAAAAATATGAATACTCTTCATAGATCTCTCAGGTGACGCAAAATTAACAAAGGATTCAAAGCCACCACTGCCAAAGGTCCACAGTACTCCAAAGAAACCTTCTACGCCTAAAACAAGCGAAGTTAAGAAACCGACGGATAAATTAACAAAGAATGCAAAGGCGTCGCCACGGATAACTTCAAAAGCTACGCCTTTGCAAAGTCCAGGTATCGAGCATTCGCCCCTCATTCGCGAGGCCACTGAAATAATTGAACATGAGCAGCATGATGATGTTAAGAATGGCAAATCTGAAGAAAGAAATGAGGAAAAGAAGGATCACGGTTCAGAAAAAGCACAGGTATAAAGTTTTTCTTACTTTTTCGTAAGTTTATTAATTGATTGATAAGTTCATGTGATTTAATTTTTTTCCTTTTTTTAAATAAATGAACGGGCCCCAAAAAAAACCGCATGAACTTATTAGAGTTCCACCAACTTATAAATTGTTCCGTGGTTAATATACACACATAGTATCTGAGCATTATTTTATTATTGGACGTATATATATTTCAGGACATAGAAGAGGCTGAATTAGTTGTTAACGAAGTGAAAAATGAAATTAAAAATGAAGTTAAGAATGAAATTAAGAACGAGGGTAAAAATGAGGGTCCGATAGTTGAACAGCCTGTACCAGTAGCCGCTATAAAACAAGCCAAGGACGATAGTAATTTCATGCAGGAAACGTTATCCTCTCAAGAATCCTCCTTGAAAAAAAATGATAATAATAAAGTGGAGAAAGTAGAAAAGAAATTACCGATTGAACAGGAAGCTGAAACCGAAACCGATAACGAAGAACAAATTGACATGTCTGGTAGGTTTAATAAACTCGTTATAGATAATATATTTATTTAAAAAAAAAACACACACAAATTGGTTAATATGTATATATCTTGTTTCTTTTTTTTCTTTTTTTAAGCTTCAATGATTGCAAAAATTAGAATCACTACGGAAGAGGAAGCTAAAGCTGCATTGGCGGAACGCAGAAGATTAGCTCGAGAACAAGCCGAAAGGGAAGCTGAACTCGAACGTTTACGATTGGTACGTGATTTTTTTATAAACGTATTATAGAAAATTTATAACTCAGCGTTTCTCAAACCGTGTTTGTTAGCCAATACTTCTTTTGTTTGGAATCATATTAAATTTTTAGATACAGGTATCAAATTTGTAAGAATTTAATCTAGGAAATTGAAATCGTTTGTGTATTATTTGAAATGAATGTGATGCGATTGTTGTTACACACACACACACACACCAGTGTATTCTTGATAGAATATTTGAATGTTTTTTTATAAATTCATTGACGTAAAATAGTAGCCATTATTATTTTCACGGTTTATTAAAGACAAAATCCAATATCGAACAGTTGTTCATAAATCGAGAAACGTTGATTGATTTATGCAGCGCGTTGTGTTCTTGATAAATGACAACTATTATTTTCTTTTTATCGATATTTTGTAGGAAGAGGAAGCCCGTTTGGAAGCTGAAAAATTACGTGCCGAGGAGGAAGAGCAACGACGTTTAGAGGAGGAAACTTTGCGTTTGGCGAATGAAGCACGACAGGCCGAAGAACAGAGATTAAAATTAGCAATCGAGGAAGCGAAACGTCGAGAGGAGGAAGATCGAAGAAGACGAGAAGAAGAAGCTCGTCAAAAACAAGAGAAGGAAGAAGCTGAAAAGAAAGCGAGAGAGGAAGTTGAAAGGTTGGTAAATTCGATAAAATATTATATCATTATGAGAAATTGATTTTGAAACATTTAAATAATAACTCAATCGCGTCTCGAATCAAAAAGGAAGCCTGAGATACTTCAAGTTGATTAATATTCTAATAATATTTTATTATAAATAATCACGATAATATTATGTGTTTCGAAATAAATTTTTAAAATATATATACCCATCGTAAATGTAATCCCTGAACCATTGGATATTCATCAATATTAAAGAAACATTAAAAAGTAACTTATCTTCGCGTTTGTTTTCAGACAACGAATCGAAATGGCCGAACGTTTAAAGAAGGAAGAAGAAGAAAGACTTGCTCGGCGTAAACGCGTTGAAGCGATTATGCTTCGAACACGTGGAAAGAATCAATCAAATACACCGACAAAGGTAAAACACGTTTGATAAATGAAGATCATTTTTCTTCTCTTTTATTTTTATTTATATTATTATATATATTTATATTTTTTTTTAAATAAAATCGCATATATGTATAAAACAATCTTACAATTTCGGAAGAATTATGATTATTGATCGCGACGTACGTATTTCGAAATAACAGGGCGAGGGAGGAGACGGTGATAAATTAAAAGAAGACAGTCCTAGCGATGAAAATAAATCAGTTCCGGGTAGCAAAAACGAAGACGTTATGACAGCGAGTTTAATATCCGAAGCTACTCAGCAATTTTTAAGTGGAGAGCAGCGAGCTCATCACGTAGAAAACGTTACCGCGCCAGCTATCGTGCATAATGGCACGCACAGTAACGGCATTAATGAAAATAAAATAGTATTGGATAATAATCAGGGTAACGTCGAGGGAGGACTTAATGGTCACCATACGAATAATCACGGGAACGAGATCAACAGTCAAACTATCGCACTGGATAATGCCACCGTGTAAGTATATATACAAATTGCAAATAGAACATGTGGAATTTATTATACCTACACAACCAACAACAACAATCATCACAACAACAACAACAAAAACAACAAAACTATATATATATATATAATATGTACCGTTAAATATCGCTATAATTACACACGAAAAAAAATACGAATGATGTTTTCTCAGAGAGCGATGATATGAGAGAGTTTTAACGAAGAAAAGTTTAAATAACAACAAGTTATATCGAAATGCACATCTTTTAAAATGGATTTGTAATCTCAGTATGGTTTTTTTTTCGTAGTTCAAGAGACAATAAAATATTACGTTCATACCAATGTAAGGCTTTTACAGCAAAATTATAGTATATATATATATAAAATAAAATTTACCGGGTGTGACCCTGTTACGTTTATGTCATTAAACATAAAATATTATAGGAGATTCGCTGGCAAAATTTATGAATAAAAATAAAAATCAAAAAAAAAAAGAAAATAAATAAATAAATAAAAAGAAAACTATAAATCAATAAAGGACTTGGGTATTTAAAACGAGCCAACTTCGTTTGCTTTGCTAAAAGATAAACATTTTACGATACGTTAGAAAGAATTTTGTTCATCGCGCAATACATTTGTTTAAACTTTCATTAAAACAACAAACAACAACAAGAAAAAGATTAAGAATAAAAGAGAATATCTGACGCATTTAAACACAATCGTTCTGTGCTGCAGCGCATGACACAACTATTCACATAGTGATCGCTTTTCATATTTCACTCTATACTGATTTTTTTTGACTGAAGAAAGATACGATTGCACAATACTAGCCAATACGTATGTAACTTTAAAACACGTCGACTGAATATTTAATATAATATGAACGGATACAGAGATGCACGTATTATTAATGCGTGCGCTAAAAACGAAAGCAAGTTACCTATTAACATACATATTACATACATCCATACATACTACATACATTAAATATATACATGTATACATTTATGTATATATTTATATACCATACATAATTGGGATAAGCTTGAAAAATCTGACTCGCATTAATTGTATTTAAATGCATAAAAGTATCATTTGTATAGAAACCTCTCAAGCAGCAGACACACATATTGCAAAAATAATTCAGTAATAGGTCTTATTGATTAAAATTAAAATAAATCGCTACTTATATTGTAAATTAACCTAATTAATAATCGTGTAATCCTGTCGTTATTATTTATTTAACTTTCCAATCGTCATTATATAAAATAACATCACATGAACTTGGCGAGATTATATAATAATAATAATCATAATAATAATAATAATATTACTAATAATAATAAAAATAATAATAATAATAATAATATTAATAATAATATTAATAATAATAACAACAAAAACACAAGTCGTTCGAAACTTTTACGTAAAATACCAATTTTTACAAGAAAGAAAAAAATAAACATGAGACTAGATTAGGGATACTTTATTTTTTCTTATTAGGTATTATATGCAAATGCGGTGACAGTTTTTTGACAACGGAAGGATATTATCTAGGGTTCTTTTTTCATCTTCTTTCTTTTTCTCCTACTCTAACCCTCGCATCATTATGATCCATTTTTTCGTTCATAATTTATGTTCTTTCGGCCAAAAAAAAACAATTAAAAAATTATTTCGTCCGACGTATTTATTAGTGTACACGAGAATTTGTTTATTTCAATAATATGCAAGCCATGTTATAATCTCTTGTAAGTTATTGAGTGTCTTATGTGATTCTATATTCAAAGATAAATGAAAACATTGTTATTTATAGTTGTGTATCATGTTTCGATATAATATCAATATCAGTATAAAGTTACAAAAAAAAGTCTAGTTTAAAAAAAAACGAAGCCTATAACGACGAAAAAGAGAGAGTGATTTGAGCAAATCTTTTGCTTAACGATACATATATATATATATATATATATAT